TGTTCAAAAATGTTTTCGTAACATTTTAAGAAAATGTTCCAGAAACATTTGCTGAAATATTTCACTAAAATGTTTTAAAAACGTTTAAAAAACCATACAAATTCACGTGATTAAAACATTATTGAAAATGTTTTTGCAACATTTTAAAAAAATGTTCTGACAACATTTTGCTGAAATATTTCACTAAAATGTTTTAAAAACGTTTAAAAAACCATACAAAATCACGTGATTAAAACATTTTTAAAAATGTTTTCGCAACATTATGAAAATGTTTTAAAAACATTTTTAAAATGTTTTTGTGTTAGCTGGGTAGGCCCCGATACGCCTAGAGTATTCCACTGTATGGCTACTATTTTCTACAGACAACTACGGTAAACCCCAGTACGCCCCTGTATATGTTCATTGAAGCAAAAGGAAGAAGTTTACACACTCCCAGAGCACTGGACGGTTACCTAAGATGTAGGATTATCAATTTAGTAAACAAAGTTACTTACCTTAGAAATTTTTTCATCAAAATTCAAAACACATACATGTAGTAGTATTTTTTTTTAATTTGTTAGGAGACTTATTGAGTTCTTTTTTAACTCTGAAATAACTCTGAAAAATTAATAAATCATTGCTTCCAAAAAAATTATTTATTTTTTTCATAAATTATTTAATTATTTTTTAAATTAATTTATTTATTATTATTATTGTTTTTTTTGAAAACACCTATTTAATCCATAAAATACTTGGAATTACTTAAGTTTGCACCTTTTGTGGGAAAAAACACAGCCGGGATAATGCTGCATTTTGGAAAATTATTTTTTTTTAAATTTATAAATGTTCTTTAAAAAAAATATTAATCTAATCAATTGCTTGTAATTAATCATTGAATAATTTTTTTCTTACTTCTAAATTGAATATACAAATTAAATTATTAATATACCCGAAAGTAGGATTTATTTGACTTTTTTATGTAAACAATTTTACGCTAAAATGTATCTCAAAGTCTTTTATGAAGCATATTCAAACTACTTTTAATTATTTTACTTCCGTGTTGGATATCAAAATAATCGTCTCATTATGCACAATCTTAACCGGTCAATAGCTTTTTTGATACATTTATTTTGCTTTGTTTGACAAAAATAGGGTCTCATACATAGAGAAAATGTTATTTCAAACAGCTGCAGAGTGGACAAAGTCGCTCTCTGCCACAAAATAAACAAGGTATAAAGGTCTTTGAAAAAAAGGTGTCATTACTGTGTACCCCGTGTCACTGGTAAACAATCAATTACAATTACAAAAAACCGATTTTTTTTTTTCAATCAAAACAAAGGAAAAATATGAAATTACATTTGGCAAATTAAAATTGTACATAATGTGATGATTATTTTGATATCTATCATGGACGTAAACTAACTGAAATTCGTTTAAATATGCTTAAAAGATTTTTTGTAGCATACATGTAGTTTAGGATAAAAAGATTTATACAAAAAACCCTAAGAAATCTAATTCTTGGTGATAAAAATAATGGATTATTTTGTTCTATTGTCAATTTGAAAAAAAATATACAAATAGATTGACATTTTTATCACGATTAACTAATTATTTATTTTATTTATTTACCATTTATTTATTTTCTAACACCTTTTTAATGCATAAAATACTTGGAATGGCTTTTTTGTACATTAAAAAAAAAATTACACACACACACACACTTACACAGCAAGTGTAATGCTGCATTTCAGAAAATTTTTAGTTTTTAAAATTAATTCAATAATTGATTCTTAAATGGTTAGTGAATAAATAAATAAAACTGATATAAAGCACGTATTTAATCATTGGTTAAAAAAAAACAAAAACAAAAACAAAACAACAATATATTTATCTATTTATTTTTAAAATTGACGATACAAACAAATTAATCAATTATAATCCCGAAAGTTGGATATATTTGGCTTATTTTATGTAAACAAGTTTACGCTAAAATGTCTTTCAAAGTGTTTATGAAGCAGACCCAAACTACTTTTAATTTATTTTACTTCCGTGTTGGATATCAAAATAATCGTCTCATTATGCACAATCTTAACTCGTCAAAATAGCTTTTTTGATACCTTTTTTTTGGTTTTGTTTGACAAAAATCGGTTCTCATACAAAGAGAAATGTTATTTCAAACGGCCGCAAAGTGGACACGGTTGCTCTCTGCTACAAACTAAACAAGGTATAGTGGCCAGTGAAAAGGACAATATGTGTCATTACTGTGTACCCCGTGTCACTGGTAAACAATCAATGGCTTTGAAGTTCTTTCATAATCGTGTTAGGGTTTTGAAAACCAATTCATTTTTCAATGAAAACAAAGTAAAATTATGAAATTGCATTTGACAAATTAAAATTGTGTATACGAGGGTTGTCCGTAAAGTTCGTGGACAAGCCAAAAATTTAATAAAAGTTGAGTCATTGACATTAATTATTGACATATTTCTATTCCTTTACTTAATGTGAATTGAATAATGTAAAAAAAAAATTGTTCAATGTCTAATGTTTAATTACAATTATGGCTTCATAATTAGACTTGGAATGGAGACCCGGAGCACCGCAAAATTTTAATTAAAAAAAATATTTATCACTTTTTAACTTTCATTTGTATTTTTAAAAATTCTTGGGAAATCTGATAAAATTTTACATTATTAGGTTGACAGAAGTTATCACGTCACACCTGCAAAATTTGAACGTTTAAAGTTTCAAAATGGCTGAGCAATCAGCGTTAGAACTTGTTAAGACAGGATTGGAATCGTTCAAAAAAGAGACGTTTTCGGAATAGGCACTGCTTGAAAAAACACCTTTACAAAACTTTACTTGTGAAGTAAATTTCATTAAAGGTGCTCCCAAAAGCAAGGTCATCTTTGCATTAACTTTACAAAAAGTAAAGGTGAAAAGGTAACCTTTAATTACACGAAAAGATAATTAAATATAACCTTTCACCTTTAATGCCATATTAAAGTTCATTAAATATACATATTGTAGAAAATTCTTATTTAAATGCTGACTATTGTTTAATACACTTATTCTTTAGATTTTCACAGTTAGTTTAAAGAATCTAATCTAGTCAGTACCCAGAATTTTAAGACAAATGTCATATATTGTTTTTATTATCTTGTATCCATTTCCAGTGGAAATTAGTATTAGAAATGGTCATCTACAGATTCAAACACTCGACTCATCATTATTAGACAGACTACATCTCAAATAATACAACACCTATAATGTAAGCCAGGTTAGCTTAGTTGGAGCAGCTGGCGTTTATTTTGATACATGTAACAAAACATAAATTTTTAACATACATTACATTGAATGTGAAACAATAAAGCACTGCAATGCATTTGCAAAATAATTTACATGTAATAAATTGTATCCCTATCACTGACATTAAAAACCGCCCAGGCAAAAACCATAGATGGTTAACTATGGAAAACCTGTGTCCGTCGCTATGTAAATAATGTCTCAAAGGAGAATGCCGGACATGCATTCGGTGCAATAGTTAAAAATGCATGAACATCCTATAATATTTGCATGTATGAAAAAATCAAAATTAAAATACATTTCAACAGTTTTGTTATTTCCATTACCAGTATATTTATACAAATATGATATATATAAAGCAAAAAAAATGTGTGTGTATTGAAGAGCACTGGCTTAGAATGATATGAACATATTACTCAATACTCATTTCTCATTGGCTTTTCTTTGGCCACGCCCACATATACAACCAAAACCATTAATATACATTCCTCGCATACAAAGTATTCCCGCTATACTGCGAAACACAGGAAAAAAATATTATCTGCACCAGGATTGCCTACAACTCTCTGAATTGGATGACATAGATCTTTAATATGCACATTGATATTAATGATAAAGTAATTAAAAATATAACAATGGGAAAAATTGGCATACTGATATTTTTCATTTTCCAATCAAAAATGATCTAAAATATTCTGTATTTTTGCTTCTCAAAATATGATGAGTCAGATATACAGCACAAACAATATCCAGTTATAACCTTGAATATAAACATTATATTGAGCTATCTTTGACTTTTGTTTTCCTTTAAACATTCAGATACATGTGAGAAAAAATAAAAAAAAGAGATACAGATGACAAGTATAAATTTCACATTTCTGCTTATGAAATGGAGGTCTCATTTCACTTTAAAATATAATACTAATACATGTACAATATTTATTCTTTATGGTGCATGTACATATATAAAATAAACTTTGCAGTTTAAATTGAATTAAAAATGAGAAAAAAATTACATAAAAGGCTATTTGATTTGCGCTTATTATACACAGGCTAATAACATCTTCAACTTGTAATGCAAAATGATGCATTTTACATATTCACAAACACAAAATATGGTGAAAAATCTATTAGAATAGATGTGGGGATGCAGTTTGCAAAATGCATGAGATCATGTACAAGTCCAGCTTCACCCCGTGAGCCTGTCTATGCTTGATTAAGTTTAGATTTGTTTTTATGTCTATGGTAAATGTTTGTGTGTTTGCATATGTGTCCAGCTTCACACATTTTCATGTATGTGTTCGACTTCACACGCCTTGGAAAATATGTAATAGGTTGTGGTAGATGTTTGTGTGTTTGCATATGTGTCAAGCTTCACACATCTTCATGTATGTGCTCGACTTCACACGCCTTGGAAAATATGTAATAGGTTGTGGCAGATGCATGTGTATTTGTGTATGTGTCCAGCTTCACACATTTTCATGTATGTGCTCGACTTCACACACCTTGGAAAATATGTAATAGGTTATGGTAGATGCATGTTTGCATATGTATCCAGCTTCAGGTATTTTCATGTGTTTGCTCGATTTACACGTCATAAATGTAAAATATGTAACCAAGATGGTGTAAAACATTTACAAGTGTATGATGCACAAAGAAAAAAAAAGTTCTGTGTGTTTTGTTCTGCAAAAAATAAATTATGTCCTAGCTGTTGAGAAACTGACAATCAAAATAAAGTAACATATTCATTTTACATAACTGTACTGAAAATCACATATCCAGTTTAAATTACTGTACTGAAAATTGAATTTGTGCAAAAACTCTGAATGAATAACATTTAAAACCAAGAATGCTTGCATGTTCATCTATAAATCTCCAAGATATTTACTAGTTAGTTTGTAGCGCCGCATCAGGCAGTCTTATAACACATTTCATAATGTCAGTTTGCATGAATAAATCAATTTATCCTTGTTCCTCATATCTTGCCGAAATTCTAGTCTACAGTTTATTTACACAGCACATCACAAATAGAAACATTCAGGAAAAATAATTCACTAAAAATAAAATCAAAGTTAAATAATCACATGTAAATATAAATCCAAGAAATATTAGGTTATATTCCAAGTAAGTAAGTAACTTTATCTATCTCTAACAGTTCTATCTACTAAGTCTTCTATATTTCCATTTATAAGATCCTTAAGATCAGGAATCAATACACAGGTCATTACAATCAGCAGGGGGTTATATAAGAGGGGGCGATTAATACACAGATAAGATGATAATGTGTGAACAATTAAGTATTGAAGAGTTATATTACAGATAAGATATTCTAAATCGCTACAAGTTTACAAATTTTTGATCATATCATTGATAACAGTACATTTTCTTGATCATGACATCTGTTTTGGATTCCCCTCTCTGACATCTTTTCTTGTTCACCAATTAGTTCAACAGTCATCTGGGTACTCAGGTGTTGTACAAGTCCTAATAATAATAATTTTCAAAATTATTAAGAAAAAAAAATACAATTTTTAAATAGGTTTTCATTACTTCTATTGAAATTAAAGCACAAGCTTTTGAAGACATACTTAAGTAACAACACATGTATAACTAAACATAATGGAAATTTACACAAAGCAACTTAATGTCAAACATATGATAGTGATACATCTGTAATATCCATGAAACTTACTGAGATACTTAAAATGTTTATGGTGTGCTTTCACTAAGCTTAGCAGTATATAAACATCTCTTGATTAAATGTTGAAGTCCAATCCTCACCTGACTTGCACATTCATATGGATTGGTTCTATGTTGATAATCTCTTTCAACAATCTTCATCACAACATCTGAAAGTCATCAATCTTCAAAATTAAATCTGACGCTCACCTCTCAAGTGTATATAGACTCCCTGTACAAATGCATGGAAAATAAGATTTTGAATAAAAAATGAATTATCTCCATATCACCATACCTGGCCTCTTTAAAAATGTGAGGAAATATTTTAAATACTGTTCTTTAGATAAAATCATGTAGTAAGTATCCAACAATGTTGAAAAAAAGTTATCTCTAGAATTTTACATTTATATTGAATGTAAAAAAAAAACAAAAGACATTACCTAAAATGGAAATAAAGAACAACTGTGACTGGTGTCTCAGGCACAACCAATATACACAACACCTTTCCATCCTTAGCAGCATGCATTAGCTCCACATTCCTTGCTTCTACAAAAATATACAATGAAAATTTGTTAAAAAATGAGAGCGAAGCTTTATATTGAATGAAAAATGCATTGTTCCTCTACTTAAAAAAAATCAAAAGGCATTACCTAAAATGGAAATAAAGTACAACTGTGACTGGTGTCTCAGGAACAACCAATAAACACAAGAACTTTCCATCCTTAGCAGCATGCATTAGCTCCACATTCCTCGCTTCTGCAAAAAAATATACAATGAATATTTTTAAAAAATGAGAGCGAAGAGTGTAACATGTACTTCGGGGAACAGAGGAAGGAATTTTGAAGTCAGATTAGTTATATTTCTGCCAGTGTTGGCAGGGGCATAGTATCCGGCGCGGGGGGCCAGGGGGGCTTGCCCACTTTTTTTCCAAAACTAACATACACTATTAGAAATGTACCAAAAATGTAGTATGAGAATTGGAACTAAATGTAGTTGTCACTGAGAAAAAGTTAACCCCCCCCCCCTTTATTGCCTGCCCCCCCCCCCCACCCACACTTTCAAAAATTAAAAAAAAAACGATGCTACGCCACTGGTTGGGACGGATAAATTTCCATAATTAAATGAAACAAATTATGCGCAACAAATAAGACACATGTATTACCTTGCAGTCACCGGCCCACATAATGTATACAACTGACATCCCAAATCCCTTTCTTTGTTGTTTACTTGGCGGAATTTTCTTTGCCTTCTAGACTGGTTCCCAGCTCTGGTTCCCATACATTGCCGTGAATAAGTCCTACGTTTATTGGTTTTGTTTACAAGCTTCAACATCAATAAAATCTCCAGCACATTTACAGCTTGTATTGTGAACTAAACTGAAAACATACTTTACACAAAATTTTTAGCTCAGTATTATGTTATCCTCTTCATTCAAGTAATATGTAAACTCTTCTCGAATGTAAAACGAACGATCTACTCTGAACAGTAACCCAAATATGGCACTGTGGGTGCGTTCACAGTTCTGCCGTTGGTAGACAAAAGTTGCCGTTGGTAAAATTAATTACCATTGGCATGCCACTGGTACCAATGTTTTTTGCCAATGGTATATTTTTCTGCAGACAGTCTAGAGTGTGGTTAGTGTTGGTAAATGACGTCACAGCTAGTTATCGACATGGCAACAAGCTAGAAAGACTGGGATCCCGGATTTACAATGATATAAACGATTTTTCCTCTAATCCTTTTTAACAAATCATGCCAAAATCACATAAAAAGCATATCAAACACTTATATTCATGATTTTGAAGTATGATTTAGACATGATCCATTAAATGGATTATATAAAACTCATAGATATGGCAACTAAAGAAGTGTGATCCTAATGTGGTTTGTTTGTCGGATATGAGTCTGCTATGATTTTCTTGCGATTCTGGCATGTGCTAATAACTTAGAAGACAAAGAAATCTGTAATTCAGTATTACCAATGTCTCCATTGGACTCCCATTGGTAACATTGGTAAAATTGTTACATTTGTATGCCAATACCCGTTCAGGGTTTATTGGTACAGTTGGTACCATTGTCAAATTATTGTACCAATGGTATATTGAAAGTTGGTACTAATGGTAGAACTGTGAACGCACCCTGTGTATTCGGTTGAATAGCCAATCATTTCAAATCAAGTTGAGCGGGTCTGCATCGTGATTTTGACGAAGTTTGAAACCAGTGGTAATTTTTTGACACTTCATCTAGATTTAAGAAGATTCTTGCCTGAACAACTGCTCGAACTCCCGGGTTGACATGCTCTAAAGGTTTGTTTACGATTTCCAGCCGTTTTTACTTTCACTTTCAGATCAGTACATTGTGCATGTTCAATGTTGTGAAAGAATGAAACTAATCAAAGTCACGAAAACGACGCTTTGTATGTTATTTTCTGCTAGGATATTAGATAAGTACTTTTGATAATTCTGGGATTAAATGTTTATGTGCGTCACTTTATTCTGTTAAGGTGTATGAATCATAGGGGCTTGTCTGCCGGATTGATAAATGTAAAATATTTTTAAAAATTTGTATCTACATTAACTACACTCTAAAAGTTGCTTTAATAAAGATTTTTATCAGGCAAGAAAAATAATGTTGTAAGAAAAGTACTACACCTATCAGGGACCTATATATACTAACCTATATACATTACATGTACATAAACTCTCAACTTTGAGAGTTTATTTATTTTTATTTATATCATTTTGTATTTTAAACTGTGTCCATTTTCTTAAAATACAGGTATAGTGAATTCAGTATGCAGATTATTGAAGGGAAAACATCAAGACAGGGCAAGGAAGACAACAAAACATGATTACCCAGATTGAGGATCCCAGTGTTCTTTGGTACAAACACATTTTAATAATAAATTTCATGAAATCTGTTACTTGAACAAACATTTACATTATTTAGTGCTTGAATTGCTCGGGAGTCAATATTGTCATATATTTGTAAAAAAAAAATGTTCAATTTCCTTTGTATAGTCTCAAGCTACCCAGCCTACCATGAGAAAATTAAAAGATCTGTCATGAAGAAGAGGCTGGTTCTCAACTTTCATATTATAAATGGCAAGTATTGTTTAGAACTAAATTTAGATTATTCTTGATAAAAAGTAACATAAGGGTGATTGTCAATCCATAGGTATTATTTGTGATTGCACTGTGTATTAATTTTCAAAATCAATTCATTCTCTGGTGACCAAGTGCAGCAGTTTGCTTCAAACTTATAATTTTTTTAAAAAAATATTGACTATATTTGTCCATATGTACAAAATGTTAATCACGGTATGAATTCTATTTCAGCATGATTGTCATTTTCAATTTGAGGGACTCTCACCTAAAGTCCTTTTACTGTTCCATATCAGGAAAAAGGTCATGAGCTGAAACATGCGATTGGGGAAAAAGGTACATACGAGGGTTGTTCGAAAAGTTCGTGGACGGGTTCGGTACAGACCGCTGTAATTGTTTGTTTGAAGTGAAACTTTCCATACTTAAATTACACCATATTTCCAGTAAAAACACAAGTTTTTAAATTTTTCCACCACTTAATAAAAATTCTATAACCGTTCTAATTTCTTTAGTAAGGGGTCGCGGAGCATCCTCGATTTCTGCGTATTTGAATATTTTATGTCAATATTGTCATTACAATTTTTCTTTAATTTTTCTTTAATTTTGCGCTCGAAAATTTACGATATTCGATAAGACGTCACATTAGCAGGCAATCGTCATCTTTGAGAATTTTAAGTTATTTTGAGCAAGTGGTTCTCAGCTTATCGATTCATAATGAAAGGGGACGGACTCGATTCACCGTTGAAAACGGCGTCAGAATTGAACGTTACAGATCAGCGCGCTGTGATAAAATTTTGTGTGATAGCAGAAAAGACTCCTTTTGAGACAAAACAATTGCTAGATGAATGTGGGGATAGGGCCAATGTATCAAGATCAATGGTGTACAAGTGGTAAAAACGATTTAAAGAAGGACGGTGTGAAACGTTGGATGACGAAAGATCAGGACGACCTCCAACTATTAATTCGGACTTGACGGCGTCAGTGTTACAAGATCTTGAAAAAGATAGAAGATTAACAGTAAGGGATATAGCAGATAAATTTGAAATAAGTACGTCTACGGCACACGAAATAATAACAAAATCTCTTGGATTTGAAAAGGTTTGTGCTCGTTGTGTGCCAAAATTACTGTCTACGGACGAAAAAAATCGGCGGATCGTAGCATCGAAAGAGTGGGAAAATGAAGGTGAATTATTTCTCAATCGCATAATAACGACAGATGAGACTTGGCTTCACCTGTTCGACCCAGAAACTAAACAACAATCTATGATGTGGAAAAGAAAAGGGTATCCGCATCCAAAGAAAGCAAAGGTTACACGCTCGCATGGCAAGCACATGTTTATAATGTTCATGGACATACAGGGCATCATTCTCGCACATGCCGTCCATAATGGACAACACGTCAATGTTGATTATTATGCTAAGGTATCTATATCTTGTTTTATCCTTTATGTACCTTTTAATCTTATAATCTTTTAATCTAAAGTTATGCAATTCAACAAAAGTAAGTTTTTTTAAATTCAAATAATTATAATAAAAAGCAGGATACGCTTTTATTGCAATTAAGGCCTACATCTCCCCATTTTCGTTTCCTTTAAGGTTATTCGACGTGACTTAGTCCAAGCATTAAGGAAGAAACGTCCGAACTTTGCTGATCTGCTCTGTTATTTTTCATCAGGACAACGCTCCTGCGCAAAGATCGCAATCTACCATGCTTGATTTAGATTTACTTGGATTTGACCTCTTACAACACCCTCCGTATAGCCCAGACCTCGCCCCCATGGACTTCGCGCTTTTTCCATATTTGAAAGCAAGGCTCAGGGGACAGAAATTCAATGATTTAGAAGAATTACGATGTGCAACTAGTTTCATTTTAAAGGATATTAACGAAAGTTGGTGCAGAAATGTCTTTCAAAAGTGGGTTGAAAAACATCAGAAGTGTGTCAAACCTAGCGGTGTATACTTTGAAAAAGAGTGTTTATTGTTTTATGGTAGTCTGGAAAGTTTTTATTTTATTTCGATTATTCATAAAACATGACGTTACGACGTCATAAAATTTACGCCACGGTTGCTCCGCGGGCATTGACAATGTATAATAAAAATTGATATAACTTTAATAAATGTTAGAAAAACTGACTGAAATTTTGCAAATTATTTCAAAATCTATTATCATTTAATGTAATATACAAGGTTTGTCGAATTGCAACATATCTTCGGAGAAAATGACACCGTCCACGAACTTTTCGAACAACCCTCGTATATCCTAAACCATAACTTCAGTATCATTCTGTATACATGTACAGCTAAATTAAATACCGTATAAGTGGAAATTTTAGCGAGAGGCAAATTTTACGATTTGTCCTTTAAAACTGGTAATTTATTTTTAGCGAGATGCTATTTTAAGGACTTTAAAATGCATATTTAAGAAACTAATACAAATAAAACGCAATTAATTTTTAGCAATATTTAATTTTAGCCATCTCAACACCCTCGTTAATAATGCCAAAATTAAATCCTCGCTAAAAATTCTACTTATACGGTATGTAGCACAATATTGTTCTCTTTGTAAACTGACAACTGAGTAGTCAGGAAACCTATGATTTCTCAATATTTCAGGGATTTATTCTTTGTTTTTGTGTAGTACCCTTAAAAAATACATATTTCTCAAATTTTAATTTATAGGCTTTTTGTGATAAGGGATACATGACCTAACCCATTGATTCTTCATACAATATGTCAATAATAAGAGTTCCACTCATCTTATTAAATTAATAAATTTACATTTTTTCCTTTTTGAGGTTAAAGGTCATGTACGAGGGTCATTCAAAAAGTTCGTAGACTTTTGTCCTAACTTTTTTATTTAACGTCATATTATATCCAAATTTGGTACAAATATTTTAACAACAGATTCAAATAATTTGAGTAAAAAAATTGGAATGTATCCTCATAATTATTAAAATTACTAAGGATTTAGAACAGCAAAAATGGGGTCACGGAGCACCGTCAAAATTGAGTAATTTTCTAATTTTCACTTTATAGTATTTACAGCTATATGTCTAATAAATGGAGCTGAAACGACATAAAATTTACACGTTTAAATAAAGTATTGCTGTATTAATTAAAATGAAATCAGGTTATGTAATATCTCGTTCCATTTAAAAGATATCAACTTCTAAAAACATATGGACTTGATTAAAAAAGGCCAAAAACCATGACGTTAGAGGACGTCACGGAGCAGCAATTAGCAATAAAATTAGACTTTACATTCGGGAAACTTTTTCTACAAGCTTAAAAAATCCTTAGAAATCAGGATCTGTATGAAAAAAAAATCTGTGTATTTGTATTATTTTGAATATACAATTTTTGAGTGGTAGCGAGTTTGAATCGGACGATGGATTGTCTGCAAAGAAAGGGTTTAAAGTTAAAAATATTGTCAAAAGAGTTAGGAACGTCATTGAACGTGATGTGTGCTTCAATGTTGCAGAAATAATAAAGTTGCATGGTAAATCAAAGAATTTGAAAACAGTAACATTCTAATTCAAGCTATATTTGTACAATTGTTAGCAAACCAGGTGTTAAGTATTGTGGATATGTGTTTTGAATGGAGAAGACGCAATAAACCGTGTTTGAAATAACAAAAATGTGTATACTTTTGACAAACTTTCTCAGCGTTGTTTTTGACGTTACAATATTGGTTAACCGTGCTCCGTGGTAACAAAACATGTTGCTTTTAATTTTGGCTAACGTGAGTTCTGTTTAATCAAATGGAATGAAACTTCACACTTCGACAAAATAAATGTTTATGTGTACGAAAATGTGTTGATCTATAATTTTGTAATAATCATATTACGATGAGAAGCATTGTCTACGTATTTTTTGAATGACCCTCGTATGAACTGTTTATTTATTAGTAAGGTTGTGCCTTGTTTTTAGTTTTATTTATCATGGTATTGTGAATTCTGATAACACGAAGCCGTTGAAAATATTCATACTTATGCATGGCACTGAAAAAAATACTTTTTTTTTCTTTTAGGAAAAGCATTAGGAAAATGCCTGCATGGGGAGAAAAGTTTTGAACTCTGAAAAGGGAGGTGTGACAAAAACATTTTGACAGTTGTTGATTTCCACTAAAACCAATATCAACAAGAAATAGGACATAAAATAGTTTTATGTTGATTCATCACAACTTTAAATTCAAGAATGAACAGTTGGTTTTATTATAAAACATGTCACATACAAAAAAACATATTTGTAAAATGTACTTTGCCTTTGATATGTATGTAATTTGCAAGATAGGATGTGGGCAACATATACTGCCAAGAATCTTGATGATTTTGATTTTATGTTTGTAAAAAATAATGTTTTGTATTGTAATAAACAAAGATAAAGTCAGATTTTTCTTAATATGTATATTAATTATGATGTTTACATTTCCGCAACTTATCAAGTTGGAAGAAAAAACTTATTCATAATTTGAATAAGGCTTCATTCACTGGAATGGAAAACGGAAATTATTAACTTTTGTGGTTATTAAAGATGGTATTTAATTAAATTTAAGGTTTGTAATTATCAGATTTTGGTTATTAAAGATGGTATTTAATTAAATTTAAGGTCTGTAATTATCAGATCCTAAATACTGTGTTTAATGGTTGTAAATATTAACTTTACTTTTTTGTAAAGTCAAGACAATGTGGGACATTACATCATATTTAAGTGCATGTAAAGTTAATGTAAAGGTTACCTTTTCCAACTTTGACTTTTTTCAGAAAAGCCAATTAAAGGCATTGTAAATAATAAATTTACATTATCTTTACTTGTTTTGTAAAGCCAAATTTTCACGCAGTGAGGTGGAGCGGTGAACAGTGATAAAACTCTGCGTTTACACCGCAAAGACACCTACAAAGACCAATACATTCTGTAAACAATCGGGAAAACATAGTAAAAGAAGTCGTTCACTAGTTTTTAGTATCATATAATATTTTCGGACGGAATGAACAGTTTACAGG